CCCCCCCCCCCCACCTCGCTGCAGAGTAAACTCGGGCTTGGCCTGCACAATGGCCTCTCGATTCTCACATTCTGGACGGTTGCAACGAACATGGCATTGTTTAGCAAAGCTGTGTCAGTCTGAGCCAATGACACGCCTCCAGTTTGTGGCGTGTTACTGCGGCCGTGGCGAAAACATCCTTGGGTGACTCCCCCTTCCTTCTGTTTGGGGTTGTTTGGGGTTGTACCACTGACGTTGTAACATCCAACTTGTCGGTGGCAGCGTGGACCTTGAAATGCTTGTTGAATGCTGACCTTCCCCGCATTGAGAAACGGGTTTTCATCTCCGGTTGAATGCTAACCCCACGCAATGCCCGCGAGACGGTCTCAGCGACGCGAAGTTCCCTCAGCGTTTGGGGCTGGTCTTGGTCTCTCGGGTTCGACTCTGTTGCAGCCTACTCTCTATCTAGCTGGGTGTCGCCTCTTTCCAAAAGCTTTTTATTGAGAGTAAGCATAATCTCACAGAGAGACTACCCGCTCGAGATATAGCCCCAGGTGAAAGCTTGTTCTCGCTGTCTGAGGCGGGGTCCTCTTCTGCTGCTGCTCCGTAGAAATTCTTGATGCCTTGATGTGCGCCTCCATTGCGAGACGCTGCTCTTCCCTGATTTCGGACAAATAAATCCATGACGACATGGCCTCTTAGCCGAACGAACCCTGTGTAGCTGCTGGCCTTACCTTCGGGTGTCGGGTGTGATATCACGCTTGTAGCGTGTGGGGATGATCCGAATTAGGGGTAGGTAGCTTGTCGTGGAGACGTGTGTTGCGTAGGATATCGGCAACTCGGCGCGCACCCGCCAAGGAGAAATTTAGTGTTGCTCTAACTTCCTCCAATCTTTTCCCCGATAACGGGGGCGACACCGTAGACAACAACTAGCACACCCCGGCGATTTTCCACACCATATACGGAGTAGCCAACAATTACCCCGTATTCCTCTTTATCACATCACATGAAACATTACCGTGCCATCCATTTGGCATTGCTGCAAGTACTCCTGCAGGAAATCTTCTACGGGTCGATTCTTCCACGCTTTGGATGGATGTGTTCCCGTGAACCCTACACTTTCCGCATCCTTCATTAGCGTTTTGGCCAATCGCCGAGGTGGACTGTTTTTGGTTTGCCGCGGAGGGACTTCAGTAGAAGACTAGGTGTTGGAGGGCGATCCAGCCGGCGTATGCTTATACGAGATACACTAGAGCCGGGACACGGGCTTCTGGGGTTTCGGGGGAGTGTACCGTCTACAGTTGCTTATTACAAAGCGCGTGGCGACGAATATGACAGCGGCGGTTTCACGCGGCGAGATACCTGACCGAAGGCGGGCGGGGCATCCTCATCTTAGTCGTTCTCGGTGGCAGGCCAACACAGTCAGCAGCTGGAATGGTGTCAATGAGAACTGGTGCAGCGGCTAAGTGTGGGTAACACCGCCAAAAGTCGCGGTCCAGTGCTTTTGAAACTATTCCCGGGTTAAAAATATGAACGTTTTCATCGGCGATAGACGTCGCCGGTGTTCTGGGTTCTGGGGCAAAGGACACGACGGTTGTTTGGTTGCTGATTCAAACTCCGCTTTTTGCAGTTCATTCACGCGTTGGTTAATGTTTCTTTTCCACAGGTTAGCAGCGGCGGCAGCACCAGCACCAGCACCACCAGCAGCAGCAACAACCGAAACAGCAGAGACACCTGCTATTACGGCTGCCAGTGACGCCGATAGCAGCGCTGAAAATTTGCACGGTGGCGGGGGAGCGGAATCAGCTGGCAGTGGCGGCGGCGGCGGTGGCGGCGGAGGTGACGGCGGCCACGGAGCCTTGCCGAAAGAAAGTGAAGCGGAAGGAAGGTCCGAAGAGTATTCCGAATGGGCGGAAGCGCTGAGGAACCTCCAGTCCCGCGCGACCGTGGCAGACTTCACCGAGCAGACGGTAGACATCATCGCACGCATCGTTTCTGGCCAGCACAAATGAGGCGCCGCGCTGTGGAGGCCCGCGCGCGCGGTGTTGTTGAGTCGCCGATGAAGGTAAGCCCATGAGAGTCGCCGGTTACCTCCCCCCCCGGTTTGGGTCGGTGAAACACACGAGTTGATGGAGGGCCCTACTGAGCGACCAGGGCGTTGGTGGTGGCGGTCAAGATGGGAGAAGGCGACAGGGAGGTTTCAAGGGCGATCGTGCGATGCATGCGAGGCTTGATTGGAGGGAGACGTTTTCTACGAAGCGACCTGTGGCACCCGAGACGACCATTCACTGCTCCGCTCTGTTTCCATCTATAATAGATTTGGCGATTGGCTTGCGTCTACCGTACATGACACAAGATAACACACCCCCTGGCCCAATTGTCAAAGCTCGATTGCTCCACGACGAAGAGGGTGCATAAACGAAACGATACATTTTTGGAAAGCTCTCCACAAGACGGTTCCAACGCCGCCGTTTTCGGCGCCGTGACGTTTTCTGTTGTTGGGAAATCGATATTTGGCAATCGGTCCAGGGGGTGTGTTATCTTGTGTCATTTACGGTATTCGATTCGTGTGAGGTTCGGGTCAAGAAAGACGGAACTGATTCAAGAAAATGTTTTCCCGTTGTTCGACGACCTTCTACACATTTATTCGAAATCGATAGTAGAAACAAGAGATAGGAGTAAATTACACAGTAGTGTAAGCAGCAGTTGCCGCGCGAATAATTTTGTTTCAGTGGGCGCCGGGGATGTATGTTGGGAGTATTTACCGTAGTTTGGAGCGTCTGGTGTGAGATGAATTCAAATTAGTCTTTGTCGTGGAGCTAAACCAATCACTTATCTCCTGGGTGTCTATTTCAAAAGAAAAATAGCTTGCTTCCCGCGGAAAAAGAAGCCCAAAAACAGCGCTCAGCGGAGGACGCAACACCCCATGCTAGTAGTACCAGGGCTTCTTAAGAAGGCATGCTCAACGGTGGTGCCGCTTTCAAGCGAGAGATTAGACGAACCCGAGGAGGGTTGAGACGAAAGTGAGGGGTTCTCGCCAGCAGAGCGTGAATTTTCAAACATGACTTGGTTCCAATTCCCCGCTCCTTCACAAGCCTTGTTTTTTCCTTGAACGAAAAGCGACCCATTGTTATGCGCTCTTGACCGCCAGCGCGTTTCGGCCGAAGCCTTTTAAACACCATGGCCCGCCCAAGAGGACCACATATGGTGCAATGTCCAGCACGCGCGACTCGGCGACGAGGTTGCGCGGCGAACCTGGGAGAAGAGGCCGTTGGCATGCAATCGATAAACGTAACAGAAAACAAACAGGCGTGAACCCGTTCGAACTGCCTCCGCTTCACTAGGTACACGTGGTGTAAGGAGAAACATTAAAAAGTCGTAGAAGTGTAATTTAATGTGTGAAGCACCATAATGTCAACGAGTGTTTGTGCATCTCTCGGCCGGAAGGGGAGCTAAACTCAGGCATCTTACATATCAACATCGTCGAACCCTCGAAGTACGCCTGTGCGTGCCCATAATAAGCGTCTTCTACACATTCACCCTTACCGGGGGCTGGAAGATCTGGAAAACGTGAATGCACTACAATCGGGGTGCGGAATTCAAAACTGGCCGATGGCGACTAATGGATATCGATCGTCCCGCACACAAACAAACGTATCTCCCGGCCGAACGCTCCTCGCTCCCCCTCCCCGCATTCGAACCACGAAATTCTCTTTATGCAAAATGACAGAGAAGGGCCAAACGCGAAAAGTCAAAATCTTGTAAGCACGAAAAAAAAAACACGGCGTGACCTGTTTCTGAACGAACAAATCTTGGCTTTCTCCTCTAGTGGGTATTACTACATATCTGTCGCATCATCACGCGTCTGCCAACGGAAAGGCACCAGGCATTGAAAAAGGCAAAACACCGCCGAACTCGAGTCGAGTGCGTGGAGTCCCCCGCGGAAGGGCGAGGAGTGGGGGTTCGACCGTGGTCTGTTTTCGCCTGCCCAAAAGCTCCGGACACATTAGTTCGATTTCCAAATATGCTGCGTAAAGTCAGCGCTGAAAATATGTCCTCATGGACATCATCAAATATTATCTACCAAAGGGGCATACCACGTGGTGGGTATCGAGTGATCCCTCAAAAATTGGTGCTTGGTTGTTCCATCCCAAACACGTAGTATTCGGCCAAATGGAGAGGAAAAAACGTAGCTTCCGACAAAACCAGACTTCACAACGCATTGGGGTGAGAATCCATCCCCAATCGCCCATGAAACAACACCCCGCTGAGACGGCAAAAGCCGATCCCAAGTACCACCTCCCAGAAATGGGAACACCTTCCAAAACGTACTAAATGCGGGGCGAAAGTACGTGGAATTCTTGTCGAATGGACTTCAACGCCTCCGCGAGCAGGGTCTTCACCACAAGGGACAATGTCACCCGGAAGCAAGGCAAGAGGCGCCATAACATACATGCGTTGTTGACCGCGGCAGCGGTAGTGATACATGACTACGCCGCCCACCACCCATGCACAACAAAATACAAGGGTCACAAGACCTCGCATGTACACCATGAAAAATAAATTGATCCCCGCACGCACGCGTCCGTGAGAAAACGACGCGCATCTTACGTTGCAGCACGAACAATCAGTGCGCCGCCTCAAACCACCCCTGTGTAGCCGGCTCCCGACAATCTTCCAACCGCAATTTTTCTTCGTGCCTTAGCGCACCCTAGAGCTTGGACGACGGGCGCTTCATGGTGGCCTGGATGATGCCGTGCGGCTCGTCGACGGGGTAAAATATGTGCGGCAGCCCGGTCTGGTCGGCGTTGACCAGCCCGTACTTGGCGAGGTCGAAGGGCAGATTGTGGACGTTCGGCATGTAGAACGTGCACTCCGAGACGCTGGGGACGGTGGCCAGCACTGCGGAGCCCATCTGGAAGCAGGTCACCTGCACCGACGGGCTGTAGACGCCCTTGTCCGCCGGCCCGGCGAACTGCTCCACGAGGACGTCGATGATCTTCGCGCGGTCCCCGGAGAAGTCGGGCGAGCGCAGCATGTCGTACTCCCACTCCCCGTCCATGCACGTGCCCAGCAGCCTTCTCGCCGAAAGAGGAGGGTCAGAGGCGAGCGCGATACGTTAGGGCGAAGAGTACGAACAGAGGGAGAGGGCTCTTGGAGAGGGTCAAGGGGGCTTAGACGGATGTGCGTGCTTTGGCGACGGACACCCTATATAACTTCCACGGCCCGCTTTTTTGACGAAGCAAACGAAAATCAGTTTAGCACAAACTGAACATCCTCGAAGAGACCCTGAACCGATCCTAGCGCTATCCTCGATGTATGTGCGTCGGAGAGGTCATTGGATACACAACAAACTACAGCCCAGCTGCCTTGTTTAGTGCTATGCATGGGAAAAACGCCCGCGTGCCACTTCGACGCATGACCAGCTGTGCCTGCCACAACTACACATTCGCGACATCGCACTGCACTGGTAGCTCGGGCGATGTCCACAGAGGACACTGTGTTCGAACCTTGAATAACCGAACAGCCTTTTTGAGCCCGCGGATGCCTACGGGTGGGAGCAGCTTCTGTAGGGCATAACTCGCCGGTATGTTTCCACGGCCGTCGGTGACCATTTTGTGACAAGAGTGTGCGTTTACGCCTCCATCCTTCCTCCTGGACATCCTCACCTGTCTTCCACCTCGGGCAGGGAGGTGTTGTTGTCCTTGTGGAAGTTTGTGAAGGACGACTGGGTGGTCTTGAAGAGCGTCAGGCCCTTGACGCCACCGAAGGCTCGGATGCTTATCCGCCCGCAGGGCTGCCGCATGCCCTCGCTGCGGCCGAACAGGTAGTGCGGCCCCGCCTTGAGGAACGCGTGGTCGTGCTCCCTCGTCTTCCCGGTGCTGTCCGCCGTCTGTACTCGCTTCCAAGTGTCCTCCTTAACCATCACCCGGCACCGATGGACGAGGTCCGGGTATGTCGCCAAGAAGTGTCTGCGGGGTCATGCGCCAAGCGTGACAAACGCGAGAGGGAGGGAGGGACGGAAGGACGGGGGAAAGAGTTGAGGCACCACCACGGCAGCGCGAAGAAATCGAGGGGTCGTTGGGCTCTCCCCTCGTGTACGTTAAGCTAAGACTAGGTGCAGGGAGCAGTTTCGTGCAATTTTCAGACACGTTAGCCACGACTTTTGTCGCAGCTAGATATCTTACGCATCTTCGTTTTTTCAATCCGTGCGGGGTCAGTCAATCACATGATGGTTTGTGGTCGCTTACGCAGTCAACGTGGTACCCGTACAGTGTAAGATACTACACATCCCGGTGCGATTTTCAAAGCACGGTTACTCCGCGACGAAGAGGATGCCATATTCAAATGGTACGTTTTCGAAAGGCTCCCAACATGGAGGTTCCAACGCCACCATTTTCGGTACCGTTGTCATGTTTGGTACAGAGTAATCGAGCTGTCGTATCCGTCCACAGCGTGTGGTATCTAAACGTAACCTACGGTACTATAGTTACGAAAAATCAGCGCAGCGAGCAGCAACATCCTTTTCGCTATTTTCAGCGACACGTGAGCCAAGTCTTTCACAGGTAGACCATCTTCGTTTCTCAAATCACCGCATCGGGGTGTCAGCCTATCATGTGTTGGTTTGCGGTCGCTAACGCAGTCGAAAGTTGTACTCATTGTGATGACAACAAAAGCGTTTGGTATGTATCAATCAACAGCGCCGACCCTACGGAGCGCCACTGCGTAGGAACTAGGGAGCAGCGGCGGCAGCAGCAGCAGCAAAAACACCCACCTCGCAACGATGACGGCGAACTGCTCCGCGCAATCGAAAGAGGTGGTCTTGGCCAGGACGTACACGGTGTTCTTTTGTGTGTCCGTCGGGATGATGAGCGAGTTGTCCGCCGCGGTAAAGGCGGCATTTGTCGGCCCTTCCAACAAAATCTCAACATTGAACTGCAGCACTGAGTGTACCGGACCCCGCCTGATCACCTTTGTGTTATTTTTTAGGGCAGCAGCAGCACCACCACCAGGGTGCAGGATACATCGGCGACAACACAGACGGGGGCAACACGTTTGTTTCAGTCCTGGTGCAATGGGCGGCAAGTCATCACAGTTCACATGTACAACACAAGAAGCAGCCGTGGGTGGTTCAGCTCGTGCTTCTACACGCGAAAGATGACACGTTGAAAGGCCATCTTCTACGTCTTTTACGGTGTGCTGCTCTTGGTGGAACTCCCTCTCTTGCATCGACCCTTGTCGCCCCCTTGTGACGGGTAAATACACTACGGAAACAAGTGTCACTTGATTAAAACGCGGAGAAGTGTGGATGTCAGGTATAGAGTATATCGGAAGAGTAGGATCCTTGACACATCCAACGTGTAGAAATCGATCCTTAGAAGCGTCCTGAACACCATGGTACTGTACCGGGAGACCACCGGTGGCCGACCATTGCGGTCACGGTAGACCACTATTGGATTCACGGTATTCCTCTCGACGAACGTGGCGCATAGTACTAATATCACTAGAGGACATCCGATAGCAGCGGGGGGGGGTGTGTTGGCGCGCTCCAATCTGCTTCTGTGGTGGTGATATCGAGGGTTGTACTACAGTAGTGGCCTACAATCTCCGCAAATCGCAAATTAGACCGACACCCAGTGTATTGTACTGCTTGTGCTCGCCGCCACTGACTCTAATCTCCTGAACTGCGGGTTTCGGCAGTAGCTGATGCCACTAATAGCTACTGCTGACAACCCGCGGTTCAGGGATTTGCGGTCCATGGCGGCGAGTACGGCTGTGACAAATGTTCGATGTCGCTTGGTTCCGGCGCAGATTTCGGATTGCTTTCACAGACTAATACGACCGTCAATATTTCGGCTCACCTCCCGTTCATAGGGGTCTAACAACACAAAGTTAAAATAATTTGCGCGAAGCGCGACAAGAAGGGGCAAAGAGAGACATCAAAGCAAGCGTAGATAGATGTGGATGGAACCTACGCCACCCTTCGCCACCACAGAGATCACCAGTGCAGACGCTCACACCTCACCCGACACCACCAGTCAGCCAGGGGATGGATTAGAGCGCTGCGTAGCTCTCATCATCAGCTACATGAAGCTGCTGCTGGTGCTGTTGCTGCTGCTGCTGTGAATGGATGGGTGTGCACTCGCTTTCCTCGAATCGCTGCTAGCAGCGGGTAAAGGGCTCTGAAAATCGCTCCCATCCTGCGATGTGTGTATTTTGCCGCCCTTGGCCTACGGCGTTGTGTACGTTTCACTTCCCTCTGTTTCGGGGGTGCTATTGTTGTGGAAGCAAAGATCGGCCTGCAGACGAAGATAGACCGCAGACAGATTGGACTTGTGCGCACTCGCAGGTTCCCTCGCTTACGCTCCTAACAGCAGGCCTCGGGCTCTAGAAATAGCTTCCGACCCCAGCCATCATGGGTGCCTTTGGCCGGCCTTGGCCTACAGCGGTGTGGTGTGTACGTCTCCTTATCTCTGTTATGGGGATGCGTCTGTGTGGGAAGCTCCAAAGATCGGCAGTAGTAGAGGATGATTCACACAGACCGCCGATTGACTCGCGTCGTCACTCGCTTGTGCTGCCGACAGCAGGCAACGGGCTGCAAGAGTCACACCCGACGCCTCCTATGATATGTGACTTTGGCTGCCCTCGACCTGCAACAGTCTCGTATGCTGCTGTGCTGGTTGTTTCGTATGTTGTCGAACGTGCGCTGCTGCTGTGCTGCGTCATTCTAAAGGATTTCGGAGATTCTCCCCAAGCGTCGTCCCATCGCCCAATCATCTCTGTTTAGTCTAACACAATGTCGTACAACGTTGACGTATGCAAGAGTCACACCGTCGCCTCCTATGATATGTGCCTTTGACTGCCCTCGACCTACAGCAGTCTCGTATGCTGCTGTGCTGGTTGTTTCGTATGTTGTCGAACGTGCGCTGCTGCTGTGCTGCGTCATTCGAAAGGATTTCGGAGATTCTCCCCAAGCGTCGTCCCATCGCCAAATCATCTGTCTCTGTCTAACATAATGTCTTACAACGTTGACGTGTGATTGGTGAGAGAAGGGCATCTACCCGCATCTACCCCTAAAAAAAATACCAGTAGATGATTGTTGGAAGTTCCTCCGTGTAATACAAAAATTGCCCTACTGTATGTATGGGTGCGCTGCCGATATTTCAGCTCCAGTATGGGGGACTGCTGTCGCTATAATAAATGAAGTACAGTCTTGGGCCCTGTTTACCGGTCCATAGTGTCACGAAATTTTACACCTGCTATTCAGGGCATCGCCGCTGAACCTCTTTGGCGGTTATGAATCGCTAAACCGGGAGGTTCAATAGCGCTAATGAACCGTTCAACCGGTAAAAAGCCCATTTTTGCCTAACAAGGGCAGCGTCGAACGTTCATCTTGATGTGGGGGCTGCATGCGTCTCATTGCAGCAGTCATACGAGGGTGCAGATGACAAAGTATCGACCCTTAGGATGACAGCACAGCAAGCACATAAGTGATTTCAATTCACGAAAGCGCAAAGCTTGTCTTCCCTGATGGACTGTATCCCCTTCTTCATTAAGACCGGAAAATCGTTCCCGTCTCTAACGAACGTGGGGCACAAGTTCGTGACAACGCAATGGCAACCAACCACGTGCTGGAGCAGCAGCTCATTGGTACTATTTGTCGGGTGTGTCGATCATGCTTAACCCAACATCTCTGATATTCGCTGCGAGGAACGCCATTTTTGCCTTGCGAAGATAGTTTGCTGCCTCGCCCACGCCACACAATTCCGCGCACTCTTCAAGCTGGCCAAAATCCACCCATAGCTCCGAGTAGGGGGCTGCACCATCACCCCCTTTCGCTTCGCACCTTCAACTTCTGCGGTGCAATCTCGCTCTAGCTCTAGCTCTAACTCGTTGTCGGAGGGGTTAGGCCCCTCCATGTACATACAGGAGAACTTCTCAACGAGCTTGTTATTCGATCTTTCTGCAAAGCTTCGATCTACTCCTGCGCATTATTTCTGAGTGCGCTACCTTCTGGTCAAGAATATTCAAAACCTCAAACTTCTGGCCAAAGTTGGGCCGCGTGCGGGGCTGTCGTGTAGCTGCAGCGCGAGTTGTTTTTTACGCGCCTGGTGCTAGAAAGCCACTTCCCGCCTCTTTGCGCTTGGTTGGGTGGGTTTGAGACGCGAGGGTAACTCTGGGCCTTCTTGGTTGCACACTATTATTGGCAAAGGCGGCGCATCGCGTTGCCATCAGGATCCTCCACCTCTCCATACATGCCGTGCATGCGGCCACCACAGCCACCTTTACAATCGTGCGCGCCGCTCGGACTCAGTGCCGCATCTGAAAGCTACAGTAGTTCTCCATCCGCGCACCGCATGGTGTGTGTGTTTTTGTTATTAGCATCGACCGCGCTAAGCGGCTGACCAAGAATGGTGTGTGTGTGTGTGTTGCTGTGAGCTTTTATGACAAGCACCAACCACGCTAAGCGGCTGACCACTGTCCCTGTGTCGCTGCAAAATTTGAGCCGATACTGTAACCGCTATTGGCGGCTGAAAAAATGTCCAGCAACCGCTATTGAGGGCACGACCGGTTTAGCGGGGTGCAGCTGTGCCACGAGGTTTTGTAACCGCTACTCAGGGTATCTCGCTAAACAGGGAACCGCAAAACCGGGTCACGACTGTAGGACGAATACAGCAGTAGCACAACCTGAACGTGCCAGCACGCACGACGCTTCTTGATGGTGTCCTCCACTGATACTAGTAATGAGCCGGGGAGCACGAAGCGCGACATTTTTTCCCTTCATACCAAGGAGGGAAAAAAAGGCTCCAAATATCAGGCTCTTTCAACCATCGCGCTGTAGAGCGACCCTTCCGCAAACCCCCCCGGGGAATCCTACGTAAATTTAATATCCCTTTATTTGACGAGAACGAGGTCTACAGAGCACCGATGTACGATGTGCTGGGTTGTGAGGAGGAATCTAGTTAGGGCGCTCTCCGTCACACCGGTTTCATCGCGCTCTGACAACAGATGGCTGTGCTTGAAACGCATTTACTACCAAANGGGGTCACCCGGAAACTAAACTGCTGCTGCTGTCCAAGGCGCAAAAAAGCAGAGAGCAGTCTTGGTGCCCAGCGCCATCCGTGGCGTTTTCCCCGCATGCATGCACTGCCGAATAGAAGTAGGAAAAAGAGACGAGAGTCATTGCCATTGCAGCAAAGCAGCAGCACTACAAGTGCATTTGTGTAAGCTATGCAATACCTATGTTCATTTGTGTCTGTGTCAGTGCTGCTGTTAGGTGCCGATCGATGGAGGAACCCCAGCTCGAAGTACCGTCGACCCCGCTTTCAGGATGATCGCGTGAAGGAAACTCCCCGCTTTTTGGAAACTTGTTTTACTCAGCACCAGGGGGCCCGGCCGAATACACGATAATGGGGTACGCCCATTTTTTTTGCCGCGTACCTCCCTTTTTGTGTCCTGCGGGCCTGCGGGCTGCTCTTCGCACGAACCACGCACCACAGCGAGTGCAGAAGTAGCGACGCACAGGCAGCAGAAGTAGCGAGCGGTCTGGTGCTGCAGCTGTAACAGGGTGTTGGTATGGATAGATTCCTTCCATCTACCGGCGGTCCATCTGATGCCGCCAAAAAAAAGTCGTGCGTAACTTCGTCCCTCACCGAGGGCGAGGTTATCTCTCGCTTGGAGGACGTTCGATCCTACAGATACCGCCTGTAGTTAAGAAACGTCAAAATCGGATCGAGCCTCAATCCCTTCTGTTGGGTCGAAGTACCGGCCCAAGTCGGCCATTTTCGTGAAATGACTTTTCTTCTTCCTTTGGACTGTCGCATACTCCCGATTCTCTTATTCCTTATACTACAACAAGTACTTCGTATTTTCTTTTTTCTGTCTTGTGATCTCTGAGGACATTCCACATCATCAAGCCCTCAAGAGAGGTGGTGGAGAGTGCCATCAAACCCTTACAACAGCGGAGAGCA